TTTTCATTAAAAACTCATTTTACTTAGCTGATGTGAAGTTTGATAAAGGTTTTGAATCTCTGAACTAGCATTCATGTTAATGCACCAGCATCTGTGCTGTGTTCCAGATTTATTTCTGATATTGCCTTCAAAAGGAGTATCATGTCTCCTTATAGTTCTCTGCTGGATATTTTCTGGTTTGCCAGAAGGTGTTTAATTACAAACTAAGCTTATGCAAGTATTTGATTCAAACTGAAAAATGTTATTTTGGTTTTTGATCTAATCCTTTGTGATGTTTTTACTTGTGTAGATTGTAATATGCCTATTTTAGTAATTTAAAAATATTTTGATACTTTACATTTACTTTCAGGGTTGTCAAATTTTTCGTGTGATGCAATCTGAATTCCTCACTGTTACTGGTGTGGTGTAGTTTCTCTCTTGCTCACACACAGGCTGTGTGTGCATGTTTATATTTTTATACTTGGGAGTATTTCCATATGTACCTGTCTTCTATCTTGAAAAGTAATTTGAAAACATGCAGTTATCAATATGTCCCAAAAAATTCTTAATAATTCAAGAATCCTGACTGCTGCTGCTTTGTCAGAATCTGTTATTCTGTTGTAAAATGAATAAGCAGATTTAATTAGAGGAGTTGGAAGGAGTATTACTTGAGAGAAAGAAGCAATCTAGTGCATGATTCTTGCTAATTCAGGTATTTTAGGTACAACTTTTGACCAAATGATTCCCACCTTGACACCTGGAGGATGCATTGTTGTTTGTGTGTTGAGGGGAGGAACTGTAGGGTCACTGTTTATCTGCAGCTGGCCAGGGGATTGCAACCATTCATTTCCAAAAAAAAGGTGGTTTTATTATCTGGTTGTTTGTAGGTTTCACTGTTCCAATCTTGTCCCATCCTCTTTTTGAGGTGGAAGTGAGCAAAGTTCCTTCTACCAGGCAGTCAAAGCACAAGTCATGTCATGGCCCACTGGGGCCATGAGTCTCAGTTCTTGAGTCTCAGTAGGGACTTTAAGTTCCTCTCTTGATAATTAGTCTGGAATTTAGTTATTTAAGAGTCTGACTTTTATCTTAAATCTCTATGAAATGAGATTTGTTGGAAAACATGCACAGCTTGAACTTCTGTCAAAAGCCTGCATTTAGGGAACGCATTCACTTTCATAGTCACCCACAGAGCAAACATTTAGAAATGCTTTGCAGACAATTGATTTGCTTAATCCTTTGTCAAGTTATGTTTTGGATCTCAGTTTTTAAGAGCTAATTTTGTAACATATTTTTTGTGTGCATTTTTGATACCTGCAGAAAGACGTATTCTATTTCTTGTGTTTTCTCAGGCTTTTTCTGCCTGTAGTTAATTCACTGTATGTTATATCCCTTCCACAGAAAGTCAGGTGCAAGTAGTTCCCATATTTGCTTTCATCATGGGCATTATGGCATACAGGAGTGAATCAGTTCTACATTTGACCAGTAACTCAGTAACCAGCACTGAATCACTTTCTTAAATAAAATCCTGACCTTTAAAAGGTCTTAGCAAATGTGATGTGTTTTGTGCACTGAGTGTGTGTCTCCCTTCCAAGCATGGCAATAGGAATGGCAAACTGATAGATATTCTGGGCAAGGTACAGATCAGATTGATTTACTTGTTGTACAGTTGCTTTGAGCCTGTTTGCAATGGAGACTTGTGGTGCTAATGAAGGTCTTTTCTCTTGGAATATTTTCACTCCATTAATCCTCATTCTTTTCTGGGTTTTTCCTTTTTTTTGACTGTTGGCTATGGAAAAATTTATTATAAGACTTTTTTTTTATTGCAGTGCTAATAAAACCAGGCTGCACTGGTGTATAGTATACATGGACACCTCTCTTGTACTTGATTTATACCAGTTCCATAATTTTTAGAAAAGGAACTTTTAATTTCTTGTAATAAGAACTTATTGTATTTTCTCTTTTTCTGTGTGATTTATAAGAAGTCTATTTCTCTTTTATACATTGTCCTGATTTTTAGGAAGATTTTGTAAATGTTCCTGATCACGAGTTTGCACACAGAAATCAGAATTATTGATTGCTTTGGGCCAATTTATAACACATCTCATATAACTGTACTGAGTTTAGGAATAACAATATCACAATATAGTTCTAATACTGGCTGAACTGCCTTTTTTTTAACTCATATTTGTCATTACCACCCAAATAACTCACTCCAAAGGGTCTGTTGGTGTGCTGCCTCATGAGTGTTTAATGATGACTTTCATTCAGTCTAAGCTGTCAGTAGGTCAGAGATGCCTCATATCTTGGATGGAGTTATGAAATATCCTGAGTTTATTACCCTATTAAAATTCATTTTAAATGTCAAAGTTTCTAATTTGAACAAGGAATTTAGTTCAGGAGCGTCTTCAAAGTAGCACACAATTTTCTCCTTGAGTATCAAGTGAAGTATCAGAGAAAAATAAAAAGAATTTTACAGCATATGATATTTAATTATTTCTGTGTTTTAACTTCAGGTAGTTTGCAGAAGGGACTATAAGAAATAATCATCTGTGGTCTTTTATGATTTAGTTTTTATGTTAAAAGCAGTTTGGAGAAAAGGCCTGTCTGACCAAAGATACTAATTTTAATAAACAAGCCCCAACATTCTTAACAAAACCCACTGCAATCTTTCCTTTAGAAAATTCTGTGCTTTGCCATGCCTGGAATGCCTCATTGTTTGCTTTCACCCAGTTTGTTGTCTGTTCTGTTCTGTGATGATAATTTTATTTTTCTCCCTTGCCAAGCTGTGCCTGTCTGCACCAGGCACCTCTTGCTGGCTGTGGTGCGTCGGGTCCCCTTCTCACAGTCGCGTTTTCCTGCTCAGGGGCTGCAGCTTCAACAACCTGAACATTCTGCAGCAGGTGAAATATTACAGGACAAATAGATGGCCAAGCTAGATGGCAGTGCAGTCTAAAATTGCCCATATGAGCGTGAAGATTATCAGGTAATGACGAAAAGAAATGTTTTTCTGAGCTCTTTCAGTTTGGTTCTGTTTCTGAAGCTGGACCCAAAATTGTTCTGTCAGCTGCTTGTAAAATCTGAAGCTGGAGCTTTGATAAATAGTCTCTTTTCTTGTTAATAAAGAAATGTCATTAATGATATCAGAGGTACTGGCTTGTTGCTCTCTGATTAATTCCTTGTGTGGAAGTATGAAATTAACACTGGAGGACAAAAGATGTGATAAATTCATTTAGTGATAAGGACTTAGAGTAATCAGGAAGTAGCTTGCTGGTTTGTGAAACTCAAATGTTGAATTCCCTCACAAAAAATATAGTTGTGATGTTCATTTCGGTATCACTAGATCACTGTTGAGTTTTGAGGATGGCTCACATGAAGCTCAATGAGGCAAATAGCATGTGTAATGTATCCTTCAAATTCTGTCAAATAGTCAGATATCATTTGGTATCACACAGGAATTTTAATTTCAAAAGGAAGTTATAGAAGCATGGGAGAAAATAACTTGAATTTTTTTATAATGGTAATGAATTTTGTTTGAAACAAGCCTCTTAGTGTTTGATACCTCCATCATAATGGTGTGTAACACTCTCCAGAATCTCCCCATTACTGTAACTTTCTCTCCAGGCTAATTTACATGTTTGCATATGCAGAATCTGTACAAAGAGGTATCATTTTCAGAGATACTGGCCTGCATCTTGAGTTGATCATTGCAGTACCTGTGGGACTGAATAGCTATCCCTAAGGTCAATAGTCTATTTTGAATGTTAGAAGTCCTTAATGTATGCCAAAATACTTACTAAAGCCGCCTCAAATTGCTTATAAAAAGGAGAATCACATTAAATGGCAGTAAAAACTTAGATTTTCATGACTTGAACTTCAAAAGTTTTGATGACATCCTGCATTTATTTAGAATGTAAGTCACAGTTATTCAGTCATTATTGAATGTTAGCCTTCTGAGCTGAATCTGTTTCTCTGAAAAAATTTGCAAAAAATACTTGTTTTTTGTGGCCCCACAGGAAAGAGACTCTTGGTTTTGTTCTCCAACATGTACAAAAATGCAACCTGTCTTAAATTCTGGTATTGATGTAAGAAGAGTTAATATTGGGAAATCGAATTACTTTCATGTGCTCTAAATATAAGTTTCAAGACAGTTAATTTCAGAATGGTGTTTCTCAGCAGATGTGTGGAATTTATAATAGATCTCATCTTCACTATGAGCCTTAATATACAATTATATAAAAATTCTAGAAATGTCAAGTAGGGAAAAATTCTTAATGCAAATCAATAACAATTTGGCCATATTGCTAGATCAGTTGTATTCTGTGGTTTGTAATTTTTCAGTGAATAGACAATAATGTTTTACATAAGCATTGTAATTTCTTTTTATATTGATTTGTCTTGATAGTGCTTTCTAGTTATTAGCAGGACTATTATTTGTTTGACACTACCACCTAGTGAATGTCGTTCTTGTCATAAGCTGCAGTGCAACTTCCTGCTCACACATAGAAGATACCTTGCCAATAATACCAAAAGCAGGACAAATATTATCTCCCTTTTACAGATGGTCTGCTTAACGTGAGTACTTACCTTAGCTTCTGGGCAGAATTGTACAATGCATGCTGGAAACTTTGCAGCCACAACCACATTGTCACTGGTTCTTTTGGGTTTCAAATTGAAGCCATTTGGATTATCTGTGTATAAACTGCAAAAAAATTCTCTGTGAAACTTGCTTTGAGCTGTTGTGTACTGTGTACCTCAATGGGCTGTCATCAGTACTCTATTGTTAAGAGCTAATAACGAGTTGTCCAAGCTGTGTTTATTTAATTCTCCATTCAAAACAGCCCAATTTCTTGGATAGTTAGAGCCTTGCTTTGGTGGGGGGCTCATATATTCATGGTGTTTTGTATTAAGGTCCAGAAAAGAGTTGTGTGGAAAAATCAAATTGCTGCAGAAGCCTGAGTCCCTGTGGCTGGAGCAGCTCATCATTCCATCTTCTCATGCTTCTCTCTGTTTCTTTGCCACAGGATTTGGGAATCTCATCACTGCTCTCTTCATTCAGGCCCAGAGCTGCTTCTTCTGCTGCACTTGTGAGTTGGTGGTAGTTTCCATAGTGATGTGGTGAATGGATTTGGGTGGGGGGCTGTGCTTGGTGGTATATTTTCAGTCGTTCTTCACTACCCTTGTGCATTGCTGGGTTCTTTACTCATGTGCATTCACACAGATGAGAACAGACTGCAAAGAATGTTCCGGTCATTCTGACCACTTCTGTGATCCTCTGAATTTTACTGATGCAAATTATCATATCTTGATATTGAAGGACATGTATCGTCTGCTAACTCAAACAACAAATTCATTTGGTTTGCTCAATTTGTGTGTTTTAATATTGTTTAGTACAGGTGCTGTTGAGTGAGCACATATACTCTTAGGGGTGACACAAATTAATTCCACTCCCATCATAGAATCTCTCCCTGGATTTATCACAGATTGCTGCAGTTGTGAGTGATTCCATGCTCTCATGAGAAGCATGAGATTAAATTCTGTCACTATTGTACTGTTTTTAATTAATTTAACCTCCAAACTAATCATTTCCCAGTGTCAGTTTCTCTCTCTTTGGTCAGTAGATAAATTAGTTAATGGCAAATTAATTAGTTAATGCAGTCAATGTTTAAAAGCTCCATAAAAGGGAGCTGGAGCAGAATCTGTTGCAGAAATAGGGGTTCATGTCTTGAACAGGAAAAACAGAAGTTGCATTTTTGCACTGGTTGCTTGATTACTATTGTTGAATCGACTGTGGAACATGGTCAGCTACAAAACAAGAGTGGAAGCTGAAATACTGTAGTGCCAATAGCTAGATCCTGAAGTAATGTTTTTGTGATGATTTGAAGAATAGCAAAACCAAACAGGAATAACTGTGACTGAGCTGAAAAGAATTGAACTGTGCTGTGTGCTGAGGAATGGGCTTTTTTTCCCCATTGGAACAGTAATGAAGGTATCTCAAAAATAAACGTAATTTTTTTTGAGTGTTTTGAGAGTCTGAAGTCCTTAACATTATCTATTAATTCATTGCTTAGCTCAATCTGTGCATTCTTACTGAAAAATGTCTTTATGTGGTGAATAACAGGGAAATGAATACAACGAACAGAGGACTGTTGCACTTTTACTGTTCCAATGTAGAATGCTCATCCATTTGGGTTTCCTGGGAGATAAGTCTCACAAGGAAGGCTTAAATGGGCAGCAGAGCAGTGACCTGAGCTGGCAATGTCTTCTCCTCATCCTCAAGTCCTGCCCCTCAGCTTTGCTGACAGTGAGAAGCCGGAGCTCATTGCAGTGTGTGAACCTGAAAAGGACAGAGGGCAGTGCTGGGTACAGCCAGTCACCACAGTCCCATTTAGCAGGATCTGTGTTCTGAAGGAAGGTATTTGTAGCTTGGTACTGGTAGGATACAGGGGGTTAAGACAGAGCTGTGTTTGCCCAGGGGCTTGGGCAAGTCACCAAGCAAAGGACAGACAGGATGCAAACCTCTCTGGTTTGGGGAAGTTGAAAATACTTGAAACAAATGGCTTCTTGCCTCCTTCCAAACAGGTGGAACCCTGGTCTCTCATATATCAATCAGGTTGTTTCTGCCTTCTGTAGGTGCTGGCACCTACTGGTTGTTAACAACACAGACAAACTGGATTTCTGGATACTTCCAAAGAACCCAAGAATGAATCTGAGTGTCTCTGCTGATAACAATGACTACTGAAGTGGACTTGGGAAATGCTTGCCTGCAATATTTTACAGTAAATGTGTTAGTGTAATAGTTGAAAAAATTGCATGTTGCTATACCAAAATTAATTTTAAATCTCATTAATTATTTTAAGTAGTCTGACAATCAAATGTACACATTGCCCTCTGTACACTGTCAGTTATCATATTAAGAACTTCAACACTTGAGTTTGATTAAAACTTGTTTTAAATTGGATTTACTGCCTTTAATATAGATACTGGCTCAATAGGGAGGATGCAATGCATGTTTTGCAAGTTTAGTGAACCATTTCAAATTACACTTTGTTATTAGTTTCAAAAGTGACATTGTGTTTTGTTATGACTTTTTCTAAATCAAATGTAAATGGGAAAAACAGCAGAAGTTATCCTGAAGGTGTTCAGATAGGAGACAGCAAAAGCTGTTTAAACTATTAATATATAGCAAATGGAATTACTTAGTGAGTGGCCAAATCCTTGCCAGTTAAATGTGTGTCAGAACAGATAATGCTTAACATGATTGGAAAAACGGTAATTTCTTCAAAATACAGTGGCTCATATGAAACAATTGCATACACAAAACTCAGTAACAATTTTGGAAAACTGTCACCTGTTGCGCTGCCTTCGAACAGATTTAGGGTTTGTCACTATTTAGAGATACAGATTTGGACTTATTCTAACTGTTAGGGAAGACTTTCTAGCTTCAGGAGAGCAGAGGCTGGAGGAAGTCTTCTCTTAATACATTATTTGTGTGTTTTGTGTGTTCTAGGAGACTTAGTGAAGATTTATGCCCTGTTGGGTGTATATGAGGCTAATTCTGCTGTAGTTTGTGTTTAATACTTCATGGCATGCTCTGTGTCTCAGGTCAGTGTGCATAATTCGAGGGCTAATATGCTTGCTCAGTGCTTACAGGAATCTGCTATTTGAAATGAGCATTTTTTTTATTGTTTTGGGTTTTTTTTTCTGGTTCCCCTCAACCCCCACCATGCTACCTTCTCTTTAAGAACTAATGGTATTTCTCCTGTGATGACTCAGGTGTACTTTGAATTTTATTGGTGTTTCTTGTGTTTCATGCTTGATATTTTCAAATGCAATTATCCATGTGATGTATTATAAGCTTCTGGGGAGAACAGAACATTACAGTTTCTACATGAATAGCTTATAAGAAAATGACTAAGTGGACCTGTTTATAGACCTAATGCACCGGGATTCAACTCTAAAGAGAATGGAAGAACAATGGGCCCTGGTTAACATTCTGTGGAAACCAGCAGCTTTGATGTATGTATTTGTAGATGTCTGCAGAACACAGATAATCAGTATTTGAAGTGTGCAAATTGAAGATCGAATTGACCAGTCATAATTACAGCACTGTAAGGGCAGAATGGCGGTGAGAAGTAATACAATGGTCTTTAATATCTTCCACTGTAAATTATAATCTGTTTGTGGTTAAGAAAATGTTTTGGTGGCTGCAGCATCCCATTCATGTGGCTGCTAGGGGGGATTTTCTTACCTTACAAATTTTACTTTGAGCAGGTATTGCTCAGGAATTTCCTCAAAGAGAAAAAGCCACTAAAAATGTGCTTTAATTATTTATTAAAGGTTCATCTGTTATGGGGGTTTGGTTGTTATTCTGACTTTCTTTTTGTAGTATTGAAAGACAGTTGGGGCTTATTTTATGATGTTTTAGCTGCCTGCATTTTATCGAAGTTCTATGATGTCTTAGAATTTTGAAATTTAACACATCTGTCTTCTGGTTTGAGGAAAGTATCTCCATTTGATTGTTCTGTCAGTTTTACCTAATTATTAGTCAGCATGTTTAGGTGCAGCACCTTTACTGTATTTTCTAACACTGCTTTTTTATTTAGTTTTTATATCCTCCCACTAAATTTTGATTAATTATACTGAACAGAAATACAACTGTTTCTTGTATGTAGGCTCTCTATTATAGCAACAGAAAGCATAAAATGTCAGATTAAATGTTCAGAAGAACAGACTGAAGTCCTACACTGCTCACTGTGCTGGAGAAAACGTACAATGAATGCAAAGTGTGGGGAAGGTGCTGGTACATCCCAAGGAAGAGGCTGGCATTGTTGGGGCTGGCACCAGGGCCAGGTGCTCTGCTTTTGTACAGGAATGTTGTACTGAGCACACTGGGTTTCACTTCTTGTGCCAGAAGTTTCTCTTGCTTTGAGCTGGGATCCAGCCTTAGGAAACGGTACTCAGGCTGCCTGGACCACTTCCATAGCTCAGCAGAAGTAGGAGCCATCATTTTCACTTCAGTGAGTACAAGTAAAGTTAAGTAGAAAAGATGGTCTGTCCAGGAGGCTGCAAGAGTTAATTGCACATATCTGATAACACAATTCAGTAATTTTGGTCTGCTGGGTGCTCTAGTTACTATTTTCTCTATTATTGATGAGAATAAATAATTGTTTTGATGACTGTTCTGTGAACACTTGAACAATAATTTTGTCTTGAAGAGTATTTTCAGCAGCTATCTGCATTTGTAACAATTTTGGTAACATATCAAACAACTTCAGTATTTATGAAAAGAATAAAGTTCCTGAGGTCTTAATAGCTGCACTTTAATTGCATTGGTAGTAAATGAGGAATATTGTGAATTTGGAGTTAGAAACTTGGCAAGATTGAGAATTGCTGGTGTGTTTTTCTTCTCTCACATGAAGAATGACTTTTCCATTAGTTTGCTTCATTTCTAGTTTGGCCAAATACACTGAAAATTGGGATACAGTGCGAAGCATCTTGCTTGTAGCTTTGCAGATCAGGCTATTAAACATAAGCTATATTTAAAACCTCATACAATTTTAGTAGCTTTTCCAGTAATGTATACAGAATTGTCTCAACTTTTGCTATGTTTTTTAAAGTGCTGACAAAAAAGGAAGCCTGAACTATAGCAAATACAGACTTTTTTCTTTTTTCCTATAGAAAACTGCCATTCTCTTGTTTCTATCATACTTTGATCATTACAGTCAAATAGTTTCAAGCATATTCCTTTCATTGACTTCTTTTTCTTTCAGCTAGAGTTAGTGCTGTTGCACTGGTGCTATTCAGGAGAAGATGAACTGATAGTAACTCTGCTGTGTCTCTCTTGTGACCACACCAAAGTACTTTAGACCTTCCTAATCTTGCACTGTGTGATAAAAGCTTTAATGTCCTTTTCTGTTGCCCTGATACCAGTGCAGCTGCCTTACCCGTGGTTCTTGTTATCCCATTACTAACATTACATTCCTTATATTGGCTAACTTGAAAAATCTGCTAAAAAGATTTCTAGTGATAACTGGCAGGAGAGGCAGCACTGTTTCACAGCAAGTGCTTGTGAATAATTTAAAAC